TTATATTTTTTAGATTTATTCAAATTGATGTATGAAACTTTAGTTCCTTATTTATCTATTATCACTATATCATAATTTGTCCTTTTTCTCGTCACTGGGTTATTTTTTTCTTTTTCTTTTTTTGCTGATAGAAATAATACTGCTATGAACATTGTATTATATTCCACCTTGGTAGTTTTTTTATTCTTTTTATTCAGAAGAAAGAAGCATTTAGTCATTGTGTAACCATGCTAAGTATTTTAGTAACACTCTCCTACCTGTCCACATTTACATATTTTTAATTCATTTATATGCTGACAGGATAATTTCACAGCTGAGTGTTCTGAGCTAAAATTCATTTTCTGTTGTTTAAATGAAGTGTTTGAAACTTTTGAGTTATTTTTCTTCAATTTGAGTCACATCTTGGAGCAGTGAATAAATCACTGAAATCAATCAGAAGGCCTGCATTCAAGCTTTATTTATTAGCTTTGAGGTATAGGGGAAGTTACTTAACATCCATTTCATTTATCTACTGCCATGTAACAAGCCATCTCAAAAGTGAATGCCTTAAAACAACAGTGTGTAACATCTCATGAGTCTGTGGATTGACCAGGAGGCTCTTCTGCTCTTTTATTCTGTTGGCTGGAGTCATTCATGGGGTTTTCCTTCATGTGGCATCTCCTTCCAGATAATCTCATCTCACATGGTCTTCTCTCTCCTGGATACCTGGATAGCCTTTCAGAGTGGTGGCTAGAAGACAAGTCCCAATGTGCAAGGGTTTATCAGGCTTCTGCTTGTGTCACTGGGCTTGCTAATATCCATTGGCCAAAGCAAGTCATAGCCAAGCCCAGAGCCCATGTGGCAGGGGAGGTCGCAAGGACGTGCATCCAGGGGGCTGGTTCACTTGGGGCCATAACATCCTTGAGCCTCTACTTCGAAAGCAGTAAAACAAGAGTAAAAATATTATAACTACTGTCTTTCTTCCCTAGGGTATAAAGAGTCTCCAAGGAGATAATATACCTGAAGGTGCTTAATAAATTATAAATTACTATTTTATCAAGACTCTGTTTAGCTTATACCAAAAAAACCCACAAAAACAAAAACAAAAAACCCCACAAAAACAAAAACCAAAAAACCCACAAATTTTTGTAAAGAACCTAAGGGACCCAAATCAAGAAGTGGGTATCGTATAGGGTCCAAGATTACTTTTTTTGGTGTACATGGTCTCTGACCACCACTTCTCCTTATACTTCTCATTCATTTATCTCTTCCTTTGGCTTTCTCTGTTTCTGTTTATGTAGGACAAAATTTCTGCCTTTTATGGTGCTAAAACCAGTCTCAGCCCTCAAACTAACCAACATCTGATGTTTCCTGCAACCACTGGAGACTGACTAGCCATCAAGGATGTAGTGAGTCTAGTTCAGATCCGTAGGAAAGAGACTTTATGGCCCACTGGGTCAAAGGCCTTCCCTGGTCACAAAGTTCAGACACGCTCCAGAGGTCCACTCCTCTAGGCTGGTGGGGCTGTTGGAGCAGGAGGGTTTGGACTTGACAGACAACCCAGAAGTTATCTCCGATAAGCAACATACAACAATATTACTGGTTGATGAGTTTATGATCCTGTGAACCGTCATTACGAGGTGGAGAGGTGTGGTTCTCGCCTGGGGTCAGCCCCTGTTTACACGTACTTCCACTCCTTGCACAACTACCTTTCTTTGAAACAAAAAGGTAGGCCGTGGGGTATCTCTTATATAGGATATTTTGAAAGAGGGAGAGGTGGGGAATAGAGTAAACTGGAAAAAGAAAATATTTTTTAAAAAGGAAAGGACAGGGAAAGTGTCTCAATTTATTACTTTCCTAACCTGGGCCTTTTTTTTTTTTTTTTCCTTGTCACATCACTTTTAAGATTTGGCTGTTAAGAAAGGGAGTGGGGAGGAAACAAAGAAAAATCTTTTATGGTCCCCCTGCTGTCTTCACCGGTGAAAGCATTGCAGCCCTACCCTGTGTGTGTCATCCCACCCCGCCTCCTCACATTCTGAGCTCTCAGCTCCCTCTTCTCGCCTTCTCTTTCCTCATCCTGACTGGGGGATGCCTCATCCCCTCCCCTCCCCGCACCCCATTAAATCTCTTGCTCTGGCCACACCATCAACTTGGCCTATGGCAGGTGTGCTCCTGGTGTGCACTAGAACCGAGATCACTGCCACAGGTGCGTTTTCCCACGGGAGCATGTTACCTTCTGGGGTTGAGGAGGAGGGGAATAAAACGTCTGCACTTAAACTCTTTCTCACTCCTGTTTCCCCTCCTTCTTCCTCTCTACATATTAATGCACGAATTTTTGTTCTTGCCTGCTGAGATGCAGTTGTCAATGACAGTCTAACAACGGCGTGGGTGAGCCATTCCGCTCTTCGTGACTGTCACTGAACTTGGAGCTCTGTGGAATGGAAGTAAGCAAGAACTGTATTAGTTTGCTCTCGCTGCCATAGCAAAGTTCTGCAAACTGGGTGGCTTAAACAACAGAAATTTATTTTCTCACAATTCTGGAAGTCTGAGGTCAAGTTGTGTTGAGGGTTGGTTTCTTCTAGGCCTCTCTCATTGTCTTGTAGATGGCCGTCTTCTCTCTGTGTCTTCACATCTTTTCTCTGTGGGTCTGTGCCCCAATTTCCTCTTGTAAGGTCACCAGTCATATTGGATTAGGGTCCACCCTAATGACTTAATTTTAATTTAAACTTACCTCTTTAAAGACCCTATTTCTTTAAAATAGGGTCTATTCTGAGGTACGGGGGGTTAGGACGCCAACATGTGAATTTTGAGGGGATATATTATAGTTCAGCAAATAACGGGAACCTAGTGTCCGCTGGAATGCTTGTTACAAAAGCACGACCACGAGAATTCCCACTATTGCTTTTTACCCTTTACCTCACAGTGAGATGGGCCGTTCACCAAGCACCTTTGACTAGGCACTTTCCCCATAGGGAGATTCACCCTGACGATCACGCAGTTGCCTTGGATTAGGTTACTTCATTTGAGCCTCAAGTGTTGACTGTAAGACAAAGATGATAACGCCTCCTTGGTATGGCTATTGTAAGTTTTAATAAAATGAAGTGTTTAGCATAATTTCTGATAATAGTAAGCATTCAATAGATGTGGACTATTATTTTTTTTCTTAGTTTCAAAGGTGACTTAGAGCTATCAGATATTCTACTAGAGAACAACTTAAGTTCTACCTATACAGTTTTGAACCAATTTTAAACTTGGACCGTGTCTTCCAATAATGTTGGTATTTGCTAAAACTATAATGATATTAACATGTTTCTAAAAGACTACATGGTGGAAATTATGAAAAGTAATGCTTTCAGTAGTAAAATGTTAGTAGTATGAGTGAAAGTCATTTCATTATCCACGTGCTCCTTTTAAAAAATAATGTGGTGAAAGAATTTTAAAGTATTATGTGGTTGTGGTATTCTTTGCTAATGGGCCTTCCTTTTAGCAAGCTTTGCCAAAAAATGGCTTTGTTAACCTTGGTTTCTAGAAAACACCTATTTATAATCGCTAGCCTTTCTTAGGTTTGCAAGGCCTCTTCCCAGAGACATGTGCAGGCAGGTGGACTTTTCAGCCAGTGTGAAATGTAGTCTATCTCTGACAACTTGAATGTGTCTGATTTTGGTTGGATCAGTTGGGATTTATTAATATGAGGAACAGAAAGT